TCACAGCCTCCCATATGACAAGCATCTTCTGAATTGGCTTGGACCAATGTGCTATTTAATATACCTTGGCAGGAAAGGGTGAGGTTTGTCACGGATAGAGAATCAGGCCAGAGACATACTGCATTCTATTCCTTCGGGAACTTGATGTCCCAGGGGAGGGGCCCTGTGTCTCCTCCCCTGCAATTGGCTCGCCCAAAAGTTGAGGAGCTTAATTTTGGATACCTATCTGAAATGTCTAGAAGCCTTGATTTCTCAAAAGATGTTGGGGAGAACAGAACAGAGGGCAGCTCATCAGAAAAGTGATGACAAAAAAGATTCAGGACTCCAAGCCCACATACCTAAGCTAACAAAGCAGGCAGAGACTGCCACCCGCTTCCCTCCCATAAAAAAACAAAAAACAAAAAACAAAACAAAACAAACAAAAACCCTCAATAAAGGAAGGATTCAAAGGTCTGTAGCTTTCTGATCTGCTGAGTTGGCTGATGTGATACTGATGAGGACATGACAAAGCAACAAACATTTTTGGTGATGAGGCCATTGACTAACATATGATACTTTTTTTCTCTGCTTGTTATAACTGAATTGCATCCCCTCAAAATCCATATGTTGAGGCCCTAATCCCAAGTGTGATTCTATTTGGAGATCGAGCCTTTAAGGAGGTAATTAAGGTAAAATGAGATCTTAAGCGGGGCGGGGGGGGGAGAGGGGGGAAGGAGGACACTAACCCAGTAGGTCTCCTTATTAGGAAAGAAAGAGACACCAGGGATGCATACACGTAGGGAGAAGGTCAGCTATATATATATGTCATTTTATAATTATATGTCATTTTGGTGAATCTTATGGGCCCACCCTTCCTGATATGATTTAGGCTTTCACTGGGTTCTAATGTGATTGGAAACTAAATGATTAAAGAATTTAAATAAATTCAACCCTCCCTATCTCAAGTTCAGGGCGTGTTTCTCATTCTGTCTCTTATATCCTCAGTTTCCCTGAGGACTTCAAGCCCAGAAACAGTCTCAGTAGGGAAACCCTTCGGAGTGCCTATGATTGACTGTTGCCTTAATCTCTGGAGTAGTACTGCTTGTTACACAAATGGAAAAAATATGGGGATACATGAATAAAAATAGAATTATTTTGGAATGAAGAGGAGATACAATCTAAGTGCAATCCAATTTCATTTTAGCCAATTTCTAATTTTATCCTGGTGTGCTCCGGGGCTTGAAATGACATGCTAGGCCACTAGAACAACCGAGCAAAGGAATAACAATGAGGAGGACAATGACAATAATTTTTAAGATTCTCACCTTACCTTACACAGTTTTATCATTTATAGATGATACTGTGAAAGTTCTGAGGAATTAATATTATTGATTCAATTTTACAGGTGAGGAAAGAGGAAGAGCAGAGGAATCATGGGATTTTCCTCAAGGTCACACATCATCCGTAAATGTAACCACCAGGATATGAACATCCAGGTCTAATATATCTTCCACGGGTATCTGTAAGGACTTGGACTTCAAATTTTTCTTCTTTCTTATCCTTCACTCCTTGCCTCCTTGGATGCCAGTCACACGAATGTTACACTCTAGGTATTCGGCATGTCTGCCCATTCTTTCTTCTATCCAGCCTGCAGTGTGTTATTTTTTTTTCTATTCACATATGTTCACATTCACCAGCTTGCCTTCTGCTATGTTCTGTCTGATGTTAAATACATCCAATGAGTTCATACTTTCAGATATTGCAGTTCTGGAAAGGCCACTTGCTTCTTTTTAAATAGACTTCAGTTCTCTGTTGAAATTCTTTATCTTTTTTTTTAATCCTCACCTGAATATGTTTTTATTGATTTTTTTAGAGAGAGAAGGGGGGGGGGAGAGAAAGAGAGATGGAAGAGAAGAACATCCATCAGTTGACTCTTGTATGTAACCCCTCCCCTGGGACCAAGCCTGCAATCTTTTGGTAAAGGGAACGGTGCTCCAACCAACTGACCTACCTGGCCAGGGCAAAATTATTTATCTTTTCATCCATCCTTTTTGTCCATTTTTTCTTTATTATGTTTTAATTATGTATAATAGTTATTTTCAAGACTCTTCTCTACTAAGCTAACCTCTGTATATTTTTGTGGTTCTTTCTTTCTTTCTTTCTTTCTTTCTTTCTTTCTTTCTTTCTTTCTTTCTTTCTTCCTTTTTTTCTTTCTTATTTTTCTTGAGTATTGGTCACATTGTCCTACTTCCATATGCTTCACTAGTTATGGTTGTTTTCCATGTGTTACCTATAAAAGAACCATATAGACTGAAGTTCATGGTTTTTCCCCCTAGAAAGGCTTTGTCCTGTCCTCAGCTGACAGCGTGAGGGGCTGAGCACCGCAAGGCCATGAGGAAGGAAACTGGGTCGTGGCTGGTTGCAGTCAGACTCAGTTCTCTTTGCTTTCACGTGTCCCAGGGGTGAGACCTGGTGTGTGTTTGTTGCAGCCTCTTCCTCTGGTGGGACTTCACCTCCTGTGAAAGGTGAGACTGAGGAAGGTTTGACTCGGCCTTTCTTGCCTGGCCCCATTCTGGGCAAGCTCCCTGGGGTTTGGATGGAGAGCTTGTGTCTCGGTTACTTCTGACCTGAAAGTTTAGAGCTGTCGCCTCCACATCACACAGAGTCAAAATCTGCCCAAGGTCTGTAAGGGACCTCTGTTGGGTCAGGTTACAAGTCCCTCCCACTAGTCTATCTCCTTAGAACTTTGAGGTTCCTGGGGATTCACTCTTCCTTGGTCTCCTATGCCACACCACGTGCAAGAACTGTCCTATGGGGAAAGCCAGACATGCACCTGGGACTCAACTAGATCCCAGTCTTTAATAGGAGGCTGCAGGCCTGTGACAATCTCCTAGATTTCTCTTCACCTCTGCACAGGGTGAGCCCAGTCCTCCAGGCCTCAGCAACCCTCACCCCCCCAGGAAGAAAACTGCCAGCAACCTCATCTCACTTTGCATATGCTCTTTCCTTCTACAGCGTTTATTCTTCTACCCTCTTTGCCTCTGTGGTTCACCACACTGTTTTTAAGAATATGATTCTGTGATATGTCTTTATTTTTTTCTAGCTGTTGCAATAGGAGGAATGCCTTGTCTCTACCCACAACATCCTACTCAAAAGAACACATCTAAAAACTGTTAGTCTATTGTGTCATCAGTGAAAGCACACGGAATCAGATGGTCTTGCCAACATTTCATTATGAAAATTTTCAAACATACCACAAAGTTGAAAGAAATTTATAATAAACAACCCACATACCCAGTGGTGTGTTGGTAAGCTTGCTCTCCAGGGGAAAATTTTAAAAAAGCTCTGATATGTATGGTTTGCTGATTTCTGTGGTGTAGGTGTTCCCTCCCACGGCCAATTTTAAGCTACCGCTGTGACTGGGGGAAGATTTGAGCCATCAGCTTCTGTGAGCCAGCTCGGGCACACCACTGCCTACAACCATCACCTGGTTTCTACCATTAACATTTTAACATGCTTGTGTTATCGCATGTCTATATCTATTCCTGTTTCCACCACCAACCCATCTTATTTTTCTACATTGCAGATATAAGTAGAATTTCTCCTAAATTCTTCAACATGCATGTTAACTGGAGTTTAATATTTATTTAGAGTATTTTTAAAATATATATCTTTATAGATTTCAGAGAAGAAGGGAGAGGAAGAGAGAGAACCATCGATGATGAGAGAGAATCATTGAGCCAGCAACTCAGGCATGTGCCCTGACAGGGAATTGGAACTGTGACCTCTTGGTCATGGGTCGATGCTCAACCACTGAGCCACACTGGCCAGGCTAGAGTATTTTTTTTATATGAAATGAATTCTCAGTCTTGTGTATGTGCTGAATTTTGGCAAATTTGTACAAACTGTGTAATCCAGCCCCTACCAAGATCTAAAAGAGTACATTTACCATAGAAATTCCACTCAAAGCTTGGCCAACTAAAACTTTCAGCTTTTCCTGACATGAACTGTCACTCAACCAAGACTCCTTCATTAAGCTTGATCAAATGATCATTTCAACTAAATGTCTGTTTTATATTGGTTCTACTTTATTCACCAGGATAGTCAGAAATTTGCTAATATGTGACTTTGAAAGGAGATGCCACATAAGAGCAGAGTGTACACACCATTGAGTCATGCCAAACAGCATTGCAGACATCATACAATGACCAGGTCCATGGGCCCCAGCATAAGCAAGCAACCTCACATCCTGTCCCTCCACACTAAATATATGTGACTCATTCTGATGATAGTCCCATGACATCCCTGTCCTCCCAAGAACAGCCTTCCCTGTCTCCCACCCGGATGATCCTGACCACACTGCACTTGGCAATATAAGCATTTGGCTTTCACCTGTCATAACTCATGGAAAAATATCAGTCAACAGCAGAAAAACAAAATCCAGGAAAACACTCAGCAAGAAAAGAGAGAAAATCATTTGCCTTCAATTATGAGGAAGGATGTTTCAGACTCAAGGAGTGAGAAATATTGGATAGCGTTTCAAGTTCTAAACCACAAACCCATGTTCCAGATGAAGAAAGCAGGTTTGGAGAAGAGCAAAGAGAAATCTCTCGCCTACAGTGCCAAAATAGAAAATATTTTCAAAAATAATTTTGTGTCTCTGTGCTATTAACCATGACAGTGATCAGGACGTGACGGCTGTCTGTTATTATCTGAGAGTTGTTAAGTTCGTAACGTCTTACACATGTGTCATGGTTTATAAAGATTTTGTTCTGGTCACCCTACTTTCCAGTCTTGGTAGGAATAGATGGAAGTTACGAGAAGGCTGACTTTTTTCTTTTTTTTTTTACCACTAGGGCTGTAACAATTAAATGGGTTATTGCTAGATTCTTCCAGATTTCATGATTTCATGACTTCATGACCACATGACTCTCCAGTGACCACATTTTCCAAACTGAATTTGGGCCATATTTTTGCCAAGTAAAACCTTGATAGCTCTCTTTTCAACCTGGCCCTGCAGGATGGCTCCCGAAAAGAAGAGTGGTGAGAAAAAGAAGGGTTGTTCGGCCACCAACAAGGTAGCAAAGAGAGAATACACAATCAGCATTCACCAGCAGATCCACGGAGTGGCTTTCAGAAAGCACACTCCTCGGTCACTCAAAGAGATGCGGAAATTTGCCGTGAAGGAGATGGAAACTCCAGATGTGCGCATTGTCATCAGGCTCCACAAAGCTGTCTGGGCCAAAGGAAGAAGGAATGTCCCATACCGTGTCTGTGTGAGGGCGTTCAGAAAACGTCATGAGGAAAAGGATTCACCGAACTCTCTATGTTGGTCACCTGCATATCTGTCACCACTTTAAAAAAAAATCTACAAATAGTTAATGTGGATAAGAACTAAGCACTGATGGTCAAATAAAGTGATAAAACTGCAAAGTTATAATACTGCCGGAGTTCTCTGAGGAGTTGACTGCGCATCTGTCCCCCTCAGACTAGGGGTCACTGTTAAGACCCTGGTATGGTTATTGACTTCTGTATAACAAATTATCCCCAAATGAAGCAAAAACAACAATTATTATCTGTTGTGGTTTCTGTGGGTCAGGAATTAGGGAACGGCTTGACTGGGTGATTCTTGACTGGGTCCTCATATGGTTGTAATCAGATGGTAGTTGAGACTGAAACAGTGGATGAGGAGTGACTGGAGCAGCTGGAGGCTGGCCAGGTATCTCCATGCAGAGTCTCAAGGCCTCTCTATGTGGTCTTTCTATATGGGCTAGTTGTGCTTCCTCACAGCATGGTGGTCTCAGGGCAATCAGACCACTTGCATGGCGACTCAGTGCTTTAGTGCAGTGTTCCAGTTCACAAGGTGAAAGCTTCATCCTTGCCTATGATTTAGCCTCTGAAGTCATGCAGTGTCACTTCCTTGACATTTTATTGGTTACAAATGAGGCACAGGCACACCCAGATCCAAAGGAAGGAGAATTAGACTCCACCATTTAGTGGGAGGGTGACAAGGTTCCAGAAGAACAAATGGGATAAAAGTGATGGATGCATCCATCTTTGGAAAATACAGTCCTCCACAAGCCCTTTCATAGAGTGTCAGACCCGAGGAATGAATGTTCCCCACTGGAGTCTGTATGACAGTCCCATCCTAAAATGTTGTATGCAGTTCTGAGCACCTATTTTAATCGGGATGCATGAAAGAATGGAAAAGCTCATCCCCTGAAGAATGACCATAGGAACTAGCTTTTTTTTTTTCTGGATAAGACATGTAAGAGGAGGTGTGGTCACTATCTTAGCACATTTGAAGGACTGTCAGGTAGACAGGGAGCAGGCTTAGTCTGGGTTGCTCCAGAAGGGTAGATAACTACAAGGTTTTTCAAGGACCCTGAGTATCCCAAAGAAGAAACTCAGAGGGTTCCTTGGCTGATACCTCTGCTATATATATTCTACATCCAATTTTCTCTTAAAATGTGTCTTTTGATTAAAAATAACAATGGGAGGTGGGGGAAGGAGGAGATCTGTGATACTTTCAACAATAAATTTTAAAAATTCAAAAAGTTTTCAAATCATTAGACTTGGTCAGATAATATTCCCCAGACATACCTTTAGGAAAGTTTGACTGAAATAATTAAGAGCACAGGCTAAAGAGCAGAGCTGCCTGGGTTCAAGTCCCGGCTCTGTTACTTACAAGTTATGTAACCCTGGGCAACTTCAGCTCTCTGCACCTTAGTTTCCTCATCTGTCAACTAGGAGTACCAATCAGACGGGGTGATTGTAAGGCCAAAATAAGTTTGTCTTTAAATATTTAAGTATAGTACTTAGAGTAGTGCCTGGCACATAGTAAGTACCACCTAAGTAGTCATTAAATTGATAAAAGTGTGAGAAGTATGCAGGAGCCTGCATTGGAAGGTAGTAAACAGGCACTGAGTCACTGCATGGTCATGAGCAGAGTCTGGAAGTCAGCTGTTTTGTTAAAGGAATTGGTCATGGAGTGGTTCATAGCCCACTCCTCCAAAAGGAATTTTAAAAAGCTAAGAAAGGAATCTGAGGCCACCCATCTGCTGGGTGGTTGTTGATGGTCTAGACCCGAGGTCAGCAAAACTTTTCTGCAAAGGGCTGAATAGTACATATTTTAGGGTGTTGTAGGTCATATGACCTTGGTTTGCCATGGTAGCATGAAGGCAGCCATGGACCATCCATACAAGAATTACATGAATGGTTGAGCTGACTTTGGCTCACGATCCATATCTATAGTTTGCTGACTCTAGTTTAGACCATGCCGGGCTTGAGAAAGCTGGAAATAAAGTGGTTTTTGATGGGGCGGCAGAGCAACAGGAGTTGGAGGGAAAGATAGGGCGGAATAGTGCCACTACAATGCCACCTCTCTTCCTCGGGCAAACTCACTGTGAGTTTACACAGGTCCTCTGTGTGTGACAGTGGTTCTCAACCTTCTGGCCCTTTAAATACAGTTCCTCATGTTGTGACCCAACCATAAAATTATGTTCGTTGCTACTTCATAACTGTAATGTCGCTACTGTTATGAATCGTCATGTAAATATCTGATCTGCAGGATGGTCTTAGGCGACCCCTGTGAAAGGGTCGTTCGACCGCCAAAGGGGTCGCGATCCACAGGTGGAGAACCGCTGGCTAGAACACTTGGCACCAGGCATCCAGAGACACAGAGGGGGGCCATATTGGGAATGAGAGTTCCCAACTCATTCATTCTCTTCACGATGTGTTTTGTTATTGTATTGCAAGGTCTTTGGAAAGAGAGTCCAGGCTTTTCTTTTCCTGCAAACCGGCTCTAAACCGCAGAACAATGCTGCCCATTCTGTGGCTGGTCAGTGATCCCTTGCTGACTGTCTTTATTTCCTCACCTGCAAGAAGATCTCCCCGGGCCCAGATGGAAACCTCCAAGCTCATGAGGGACTCATTCAGCGCGACTCTTCCAAGGGAAGTGCAGTCCCGGTGGGAAGTGATTGCACACCGATGGAATTTGTGCACACTGCATGGAAAGATGATCTTTGCCTTTTGGCTGTGTCACAGTAAATAAGCGGGAGACGGATTATTTCTAAGAGCGCAGTTCTTCCCGGCACTGATAAGAATGGAATGCAGGCTACCACGGAGATTCAGGTCACTAATTAGTCCCAGAAGCCTCCATGCCTTGAATCACTGTTATAATAATTATGCATTAAATTAGAATGTTTGCAGAGGCCCGGGGCCAACTGTGCTGCAGAGCCCGGTGACGGCATGGAGAGATCAAGGCGCGTCCTGCCCAGCGCACTGCAGGGACCCGCGGGTGAAACCCAGTGACCCTGCCTGGTCTCTGACCCAGCTGTTCGCAGCCTCCTGCCAGAGACCTTGTTATTGGCGCTGAGTGGACAAAAGGAAGAAAACGATGGCCGCCCCTCAGTTCACCCCTCTGAGCTCGATGCAGTCATGCTCAGCTGCGAAAAGACTCAAAACAATCATTTGGACATTTTATTTCCACAGTAATAAATACAAGATACGTCCAGGTGTTTGCTAACGTGGAGATAACAGTCTGGACTCTTGTCTGCCTTTCCGTTTTTATCTCAACTTTTTAGATTCGGGGAGGCCTGGCTGTAGCTATGGTTGAACTATTTTACCTACTTTTCTTCTTCTCCCACCTCCTCCTCCTCCTCCCTTCTTGTGTTCTCCATGAGCATAAAACCAAAACATACTAGATACTCAGCTGTAAAATAAACAGATGATAAATAGCAGTCTCTGTGACTGTTGGGTTATAATTCCATCGAGGGCTTGGGTTGAAGTCATAAACCACAAGAAGTGAAGCGTGGCCCATAAATAGCCTTCAAGATGGAATTACAGCCCCATAATTCAACGTGGACCTTTGAAAAAATAATCCTTAAACCCAGCTTTAATTCCAAGAAAGAGCCCTGCCTGTAGTAACATCTTCTGATCGGTTCATCAGTAAACAGATAATTCCTCTGTATTAATGTGACATTTATTAGTGCTGGGGTGAGTGCCCTAGCTGTACTTGAGGAGGTTACTATTGAAACCAGGCCGCAGTGCCCCAAACACAACCAACAAAACAGAAACTGGAGTCCTGTTTCACCACATTGAACGTAAATGAGCATAAATGAGCAGGAGGTGAGGAGATACCTGGGGGCCGAGAGGAAGAAATGTTGATTCCTGAAAAGAGAGGGGCAAGAGTCTCTTGCCTTTGCATTTCACACCTTTCAGCTCCCCTCTTTTTACTTGTTGTGATAACCATGTAGTGGCTGAGTTAGAGTTTTGTGGGAAGTCATCTGTTGACATAAATTCCATCCCTGCTAAAGACAGGCTTGCTATTTTCCCAACTGATTCTGCTTGATCTCATGATTCATTAAAGCCAGTTGATCTCATACAACCTACGAGGTACGGCAGGCTTTTTCATGATGGCTTCTTGTGTGATGAAAACAAATATTCTCACATTAGAGAGAAAATAAGCCAAATCCACCAATTCTGCAGGAGTTGGATGTTTAAATGGAAGCTTCTGGTGATCATAAATTAAGCCATCAAAATCCCCGAAGAATCCACTGTAGCCTTAGTATCAAATGAAACAACATATATGCAAGGGCCGGCAGATGGTAAGGGCTTACTATATGGTTATTCTTTGTCACAATTTTAACCATAAAATTCAGAAATATTTTATGAATGCTCTTGTAAAGATACTTTCCTCAATAGACTGTTATTTATAACAAAAATCGATAGCTATGAAGAAAAAAGCAACAGCAAAGAATAACTTCAGATAAATTATCAGGCCAAAATAGAAAAAGAATAACATAATTTTTACCTGACCTATTGAAATATAATTTTTATACAGGCTTTGTGTTTAATTTGCCCTTTCTTTTGTATTTTCTTAAGGTGAAAACTTAGATCCCTGATTTGAGACCTTTGTTCTTCAAATACAAGCATTTAAAGTTACAAATTTCATTCTATTGCTTTGGCTGTATCCTACACATTTTGATATGTTTTAATTTTTGTCTTGGATCAAACTATTTTCTAATTTATCCTGTGATTAAGTTTTGACTCATGTGTTGTTTATTTTCTAAATGTTTGATGAGATTGCATTAAATTTGCATATTGCTTTGGGTAATATGACCGTTTTTTGCAATTTATGAACAAAATATTTTTCAAGAAACATTCTTGTAGATAGATCACCACCACCGTGTATTGAAGTTCTGCTACCTGTCAGGCAGTGGGTGAAGCATTTTACTAGTATATATATAATCTCACTTGATAGTCACAACAATACTAAGAAATATTATTAAGAAAAAAAGACTGAGCTTGCCTACCTTAATATGTCATATATGTAGCAGAGCTGGATTCAGACCCAGAT